AAACTTAAAAAAAATAAGGGTATTGTTTAATTTCCAAATATCTGATGATTTTCCAGATATTTTTCTTTCTGTTATTCATTTCTAGTTTTAATACCATTGTTGCCTGAGCTAATACTTTGTGTGTTTTCTATACTTTTACATTTGGTAAGCTGTGTTTTATGGCCCAGAATGTGATCTAGCCTGTTGAACATTTTGTGTCATCCAAAGTGGAAAGTATATTCTAGTGCTGTTGAATGGCGTATTCTACAAATGCCAATTAGATAAAAGTGATTGATATTGCTGTTTAGGTCAACTAAATCTTTACTGATTTTCTGCCTGCTTCATCTATCAATTGCTGAAAGAGAGGCTTAAGTCTCCCACTATAACAGAAAGTTTATCTATTTTGCCTTAAAATTCTATCAGATTTTGCCTTGCGTATTTTGATGCTCTATTGTTAGGACTGTTATGACTTTTTGAATAATAAATCTTTTTATCATTTTGTCATTTCTCTGTCTATCCATGACATTTTTTCTCATTCTGAATTCTGCATTGTCTCAAATTAATCAAGTTACCTCAGCTTTCTTTTGATTAGTGTTAGCATGGCATATCTTTTTCCATACCTTTACATTTATCTTATCAGAGTATACATGTAAAGAAAATTTCTTATATGCAACCTATGGTTCAGTTCAGTTTGTTAATCCACTCTGACAATGTGTATTTTTAATTTATATATATGAATTATTTGTTTTTAAAGTGATTATGAATATACTTGGATTAGTATCCACCATGTTTGTACTGTTTTTTATTTGTTGCCAAAAGCTGTCTATTCTGCCTTCTTTTATTTTAATTGAGTATTTTATATGATTCCATTTTCTTTTCTCTCTTAGCATATTATTTTACTTTTACAAATATTGTTAGTGGTTGTCCTAGAGTTTAAAATACAAAATTTTAACTAATCTATGTTCACCTTCAAATAAAAGTATTTCATTTCACATGTAGCCTTGATTTGTCCCTTGCATCTCTTGTGAGATTGCTGTCATTCTTCTAGTTATCCAGAAGATAGTTATAAATGGTTACTATTATTATTTAGTAACAATAAATAAGCAATAAATATCCCTTAATGAATTAAGAATATGAAAATAACAGATTTAATTTTTCTTTATTTATTTGTTCTCTCTTGCTCTTCCTTTTTAATGTAGACTAAAATATCTGGCTTACATAGTTTTCCTTCTATCTGAAGACAATCTTTACATGGTTTTTACATGATAGATATGCTGGCTATGGATCCCCTCAGTTTTTGTTGGTCTGATAAAGTATTTTTCTTTCACTTATGAAGGATCATGTATTTTGATATAGAATTCCAGGTTTTTTTCTTTTAACACTTTAAATATTTTGCTTTTTGTTACTTTAAGTATTTTAAATATTACTTGCATAGTATCTGGTGAGAACTCCACTGTAATTATTATCCTTGTTCCTGTATAGGTAAGGCATTTTATTTCATTCTGGTTACTTTCAAGGTTTTCTCTTTGTGTTTGGTTTTCTGCAGCTTGAATATGATATGCTACAGATAGTTTTTGTTTTTGAAGGGAGGAGAGGGAGGTTACTTTGTGGGATATCTTTGAGCTTCCTTGATCTGTTGTTTGCTGTCTATAATTAATTTTGGAAATTTCTTGGCCATTATTACTTCAGATATTTATTTTGTCTCATTTTCTCTTTCTTTGTATTCTGGCATTCTGTAGTATCACATCTTTTGAAATCGTCCCATAGCTATTGGCTATTCAGTTTTCTTTTTCTTGTCTTCTCTTTGAATTTTAGTTCAGGAAGCTCTATTTATGTTTCTTTAAGGTCACTGATTATTTCCTTGGGTTGAGTCTACTGATGAGCCCATCAGATAATCTTCACCACTTTTATTCTGTTTTAAATTTCTAGCGTAGTCATCAATTCACCAAAATTACCATCTAAGTCAGGGATGGACAATATTTTGACTTTCTTGGGCCACATTGGGAGAAGAAGAATTGTATTGGGCCACACATAAAATGCACTAATGATAGCTGATAAGTAAAAAAAAGAAATTGCAAAAATCTTTTAAGACAGTTTACAAATTTGTGTTGGCCTGTATTCAAAGCTGTCCTGGGCTGCACATAGCCCACCGGCCATGGGTTGGAAAAACTGGATCTAGGTGTTGCTGCTAATTAGTGGTCCCAATGGCTTTTGCTCCAGACGATCTTGGCTTTGGGCTCCAGTTTGCCCTGGGACCTATGTTCTCAGATGTGTTTTTTAAAAAGTCACTGATTTTCATTTTATATAGCCCAATCTAAAAATCTCTGCCCTGGAAGTTTGCACTAAAATATACTGGCAAAAAAAAAAAAAAAAAAAAAAAAAAAAAAAAAAAAAAAAAAAAAAAAGAAAATACAAAAAAAAAAAAAAAAAAAAGTTTAAATCAGAACTTTAGGATCTCGGTACCAGGAATTTAGGATTTAAAATCTCAGGAGTTGTGTGATTTTGGGGCTGAGGGGTGCATGTACATCTTTCTTTTTAAAAACTGATTTAAAATGGAAATTTATCATGTCCTTCAATTATAAGCATAAGCAACAAAGCACAACAGTATTGGAAGTAGCTGTGACATTATTACCATTGGAACTAACACATATTTTCATATCACATTTATAGTTTTTTTTCTAATAAATTACAATATCATTTATGCTGAACACTTTGAAAAGTATACTAGTTAGGAGACTCGCCACTTGATCTTATTATTTAAAGCATTATTTTAGAAGAAGCATACCACGAATTTGCTTAAACATTTATTTCACTAACTATATTTAGGTGTATTTGTTTTCTTTTCAATTTGGTGCATTTTTATTTTATGATACAAAATTATTCCGAAGAAGCATGGGAGGCAGAATAATGGCCTCCACAGATGTCCACACCCTACTTTTAGGTACTTGTGAATTTCTTAAAAGAGACTTTGGATTTTTTGGCCTGTAAATTAGCTCAACCATTGTGGAAGACAGTGTGGCCATTCCTCAAGGATCTAGAGCCAGAAATACCATTTGACTCAGCAATCCCATTACTGGGTATGTACCCAAAGAATTAGAAATAATGCTACTATAAAGACACATGCACATGTATGTTTATTGCAGCGCTATTCGCAATAGCAAAGACTTGGATCCAACCCAAATGCCCATCAATGATAGACTGGATAAAGAAAATGTGGCACATATATATCATGGAATACTATGCAGCAATAAAAAATGATGAGTTCATGTCCTTTGCAGGGACATTGATAAAGCTGGAAACCATCATTCTCAGCAAACTATCACAGGAACAGAAAACCAACTACCACATGTTCACACTCAGAAGTGGGATTTGAACTATGAGAACACATGGACACAGGGAGGGGACATCACACACCAGGCCTGCTGGGGGGTGGGGGGTTAAGGGAGGGATAGCATTAGGGGAAATACCTAATGTAGATGACAGGTTAATGGGTGCAGCAAGCCACCATGGCACGTGTATACCAATGTAACAAACCTGCACGTTCTGCACATGTATCCAAGAGCTTAAAGTATAATAACAATAATAATAAAAATAAAAAAGAGACTTTGGGGATATGATTAAAGTTAAGGAACTTGAGATGAAGAGATTACCCTAGATTATCCATATGGGCCCTATCTAATCATACAAGTCCTTAAAATAAAAAAGAAAGGCAGAAACGTTGGGTCAAAAATATGAGACATGAGCAGAACTGGACCTGTTTTTGCTGGAATTGAAGCTGCAGGCAGGTGACTATGAGCCAAAGAATGCAGTGGGAAGGACCTTCAGCTACAGCCAGGAAGAAAATGGGTATCTCAGTCCTACATCTGCAGGGAGTTGAAATCTGCCAGCAATTCAAATGAGTAGAAAACAGATTACCTCCTAGAACCCCTGGCCTGCCCACATTTTTTATTTCGGTCCGGTGAGACCTGTACTGGACTTCTGAGCTACAGAACTGTAATAACATGTTTTAAACCACTAAGTTTATTCTACTTTGTTACAGCAGCAATACTAAACTGATACACCAAAAATCCCTGTACTTCATCCAAATATCCATGTTGTCCACGACACACAAAGAAACTAAGAACCCAGCTGTAGTTTAATTTGACATCACAGACCCAACATGTTTCGAAAAGTAAATGTTATGGAATGAAATAATTGATGATCGTTAAGACACCCAATATTTTGGCACTGAAAATAATGATTCCATCTATGTTAAAAAAAAGGCATAAAACAATTATACTAAACTACTCCATTATCTCTTCCAATTTGGTTCCTTAATTTTCTAACTCTATGTCCATGGCTGATTATGATAATTCAAACTTTTTTTCTGAATATTATGCTGCATATATAAACTCAGGCACTTAAGAGCAGCTTTTGAGGAACTGATTGCCTTAACCAATTAATTGAATGTAAACTTATGTCATTGAAGAATGCATATGGGTGGAAAGGTTGTATCAGCAAAGTCTAATGAGGAAAATGATGTATTAGAAATACAGAAGAGTGATGGCTTGCTCTGAGTATGACTGTTAGGTTGGAATAAATTACCTTTCGTTATAATCTCAATATCCTTTGGTAAGAGTAACTCTGAAAATGTATGTTGGCACCAAAGCAACATCACTGTGTATTCTTTATGAGAATATTTTTAAAAGTAATAACCAGAAGGCCATGAAACTCTTTAAATACCCGTTAGAATTAGGGAGTAGTAGAAATCTAAATTACAAGGCTGTTGGAATATTGCAGTATTCCTACCAGATAATAGAAAGTCTATAGGCAACTATATGAAGAGACAATTCTTGAAAAACATATTCTTGATTTTCTTCTTGGTGTACACTTTCTAATTAGTTTTACCTTAGCACCTTTCTTTTTTATAGTTTGCCAAAATGTANCACAGCTTTTGGTTGCAGGATTATTCACCCTAGCTCATAAAAGAAAACAATATTGCATTTCTAACCTTTTGCTCCTAGAATTGGCAAGTCTAGTCGAGAAAGGCTGGAATGCCATTAAAACAACAGCTTGTCATCTTTCAATCAGTCCTTAGCTGAAGTTAAAATCCCACTCATACTACATGATCCAGGTAAAGACCTTCTTCCTTAAGGCTCTTTACTGCTTCAGGCATCTGCGGTTTGCTTCTTTCCATAAGGAAACCTCTAAACATTTGGCACCCTAAACATTAACGTGAGTTTTCATCTCTCAGTTCACTCAGTCGTCCAACACGATTTGATTGTCTGCTGGGTGTCAGTCATGGTGCTAAGCTCTGCAGGAACAAAGATGAATAGGACTCTGACCACATTCTCAGTAGAAGAGGGAAATAAATGTGAAAAGAAGTCGTTATAGTACAGTCTGATAAGCACTGTAATAAAACCTGGAAGATTTTCACACATTGACAATTATAAAATTACGAAGATTTGTTCTCTCTTTAGCTATTAAGTCCCTAAAATGCTTTATGCTTTGTCTCCCTGTGTTACCATACTGATCTCTTCGTCATGCCTGTTCTTAATTAAGTCTTCTAGATAAAATGTTCTTCTCTGTGCTCTTGTCTTATTTGTTCCCCATCCTTTCAGTTTCTTACTGTGAACAGTGAGAAAGCATTTCTTCTCAGTTAGCCCAGTACTACTACTTTGAGTTAGTAGAGGGTAGTGGTTAAAAATTCAGGCTCATGGTAGGGGTTACCTGCATTTGAATCTGGGTCCAGCCACTGGATAGCCTTTTAACATAGGCAAGTTATGCAAACCCACAGTGCCCAAATTTCCTCATCTGCAGAATGATGAGGAATAGCACCTATTCCATAGTGTTCTTGTTAGGATGAAATGAGATACTGTGTGTAAAGTGCTTGGCATATAATACGCACTGTGCAAATAGTAGCATTATTATTTGACAGCAGAACAGAGGCCAGCCATTTCTTCAGCTTATAATTTAGGGCCAAATAGAAGTGCTAGTAATAACGCATTTATTGTTTTTATTTTTGATTGCACCTGGCTGCTGGGGAGCCTCCGTAGCATAGAGTGAGTAGCACCTAAACAAGAACCAAAATGGAGGGTATGGATGAGGCTCAGATCATCACCCCCTGGAGAATAGAGACAGTGTCTGAGTCGCCAGGAAGTCTGGCCCCTACTCATCCTGGAATCCCTGAACTTTGACTTTTTAAGAGAACATACGACAGATGATGCCATCGGAGAAGGTAAGCGGCAGATCTTCTAAGTGGTAGAACTGAGATTTGAACCTTTGCCTTTCTGACTTTAAAACATGTTTTTTTCCCTCTATAAATAAAATGTGTTCCCAATGGAACAAGGATCCAATAAGTGAGTATGTAGGAAAGGAACTTGTACAAGAGATGCTGCAATAAAGTGGTCTTGGCAAGAATTGGGAATACACAAGGGAGTGTGGACTGCCATCTGTTGTCTAGGGCAATAAGGATGGAGAACAGGGACTATATTTCTTAGTAGTGCTGCGGTATGCTTAGATGACCCTGAACTTTGTTGGTGTGAAGCAGTCTGTAAGATGATTGGCTGTTGGTAAAGCCACAGTCAGTATTTGCCTTTAAATTTTACCGTGCTGATATTTGATATTTACTCTGCTGGAGTACCATATTGATTTGCTTTTTCCTTTCAATGTTGTGGCGCTACATTGCCTTAAATTCTAACATGTTAGTAGTGTTTTAAAATAGCATGTCATTTAATATTCATATTAATGAGATTCTGATGTTAAGAATCACATACAGGGGTGTCAAGAAGAGATGGAATTTGCGCAATGCACTTCCTACAATGCTCTTGGCCAAAGGGCTTTCACCATTGGCAGGACCTTGTTACAACAGGCTCGCCTTCCTGCATTCCCACAGCCTTGACCCTGAGGGCTGCCATGGAGCCAGGCTCCCGTATGGCGTGGGTTTGGGGAAGAAGCCAGGCAGTCAGGGTTCTCAGCAGGAATATGAATTGTGTGAGGAATGTGTCATTCAGTAGTTAATGAAGTGCTGGGGCCTTAGTTTAACTATTTTAAACCCTTGGAAGGATTTGGGAAATGAATTGAGAGCTGGTTTGTTATTTTTGCCCTCATGGGTCTTTGTATGTCTTTTTAACAAGCACGACGGCTTTAGAAATAGTCTCTCTAGTTATGTTTGCTTCTTTTCTACTTGGGAAACATTCTAAGGCTCACAGTGGTACTTGTGGCACCCCAGCACATCTCTCTACCTCTTACCCCTGTCCCTCCCAATCTAAAAAAAAAGAAAAGGGAAAGCCACTGACTGACTGCACCTGAAGCTTTGTCAAGGCTCTTCGGCACAATTCAGTGCCTGCAAATGTTACAGGAGGGTGTGCAGACAGATGCAAAAGGGTGTTTGTCAAATCAGGAGAACATTGTTCAACCGAGACTCATTTCTGGCTCTCTGTGGTGTAGTTGCCTTGAGAATAATTATGTGAAAGCACTGCTTGGATCGTATGGTGACCTGGCTAGGGGAAGAAGATTCTGGGAATAAACAGCAGCTAAGCAGCAAGAGAGCTTGCTGTCTGTTTAAATAATGCTCTGTAAATATCTTCAGGTAGCCCGTATAAACCCTGGGATTTATTTTCTTCAGGGCTGCTAACCACCTCTCTGTACTACCAAACTGTACAGGAGCAGCCTTTGCGTTTTACATTTTAAAAACCTGCTCCTCACCACTCCCCAAATACAACGACCACCACGGTTTTCCATGATTATCTCTGGCTCTTTTAACATTTGCACTTGATTAATTTTCTTTCATTATTTACTAGCTTTGAATGAATCTGTAGTCTTTTGTATTTTATAGATATTATATAAATTACATCATGCTTGTTCCATAAAGATCTTGTTTTTCAACACTAATGACTGCGGATGTCTAGTTCTTGCAGCATGCTAAATCTTAATCTCAATTTTGTATTTTCTGATTAAAATCATCTCCTTAAAAAATCAATAAAAGAGAGAAAGAAAACGTTTTTTTCCCCAGGTGCTCCCAGGTCAATCTTGTACAGTAGGAAGACATAAGTGTTCACATATATTTGCCCAATCTAGACAAATTTATTACACACTCTCATTCTGAGTGAAAACTACAGAATTGCTATCCTTTAACTTTCAGGAACCAAGGACTGTAATAGCATTTCTTTTTCTAGTGGAAAATCTCCATTATTCCATAATTTTTAGAGCCTGTTGCTAGAATTTGGTGGAGTACGAATAGAGCTCTGCTTTCGTTTTTCATGATCCTTGAATCTTTGCTCTATTTCTTGACTTTGGAGACATGAACAACTGTTTTTTTCTTCTTCTTTTCTCAGTCCTTCTCTGGAATTGTTGGGTGGCTTGTCTACCTCTGTTCACTGTTTCATGGCTTGAGAGCTCAATTTTATATCTCCTGCCCTGACATCTCTCATGAGCCCCAGGTCTACATTTTTACATACGTGGTAGAATTTCCACCTTAGACTTGGCCTGTCTAACACTGACAAAGCTCACACCTTCCTCACCCCATCTTTTAGCATATTTGTGCCACAGTTGTTTGCTACCTCCTTTAATCAGGCTCCAGAGAGCTGTAGTATGATTTCTATCATTTATCTTGATTGTGCCTGATTTAAAAAAATGGTTTAAGTAGCAAAATGATCTTACTTTTAATTCTAAATCTCCCTGGGTGGGTTTGAATTCAAAGGTTTATTTTGTTTATTCAAACTCCACTGTCTAAAAATTGTCAATTGTGTTTAAGCTTTATGAAAAACTGCAAAGTATGAAAAAGCTTTAAAATATATACTTTCTGCATGCTTGAAAGGGTCTTAGAAGTCATTTGATAAAAGGCGTTACATAGATAAAGAATTCATCGTAGACTGTAGTGAGATGGGTTTCTAGGCCCTTGGTGAAGCTTTGCTTCTACTAAATATAATGAGAAAAGTATGATTGTTAATGAATTACATATTCCACATCCCTGTGTACATTCATGTTTAAATCGTCAGACCTATAGGACGAGCATCTTCCGGGAATTATATGCATTATATTTGTAAAAGTCAATTTCTAAAGTCTGACCTGAGTTTTATATAACGTGAGCATATTGTTTTCATTCAGAGGACATGTGACTTTGGGCCTCATCACATGTGCTTTCTTGTGCAGAGTCACTGCCTCAGACCTGCCACATGGCCAGTCTCAAATCATTAGCCAAATCCAAGTTTTGCAATAACCAACCATGAATAATGACATGATCATGGGAATTTAGCGGCAACATAAATTATTTTAGATTTAGAAAATCACATGTTATGAACGCACTATAAAAAGAAATGCTGTTCCACTTTTAGAATGACCTTATGATGTGATAAAAAGGGAACTGAAGAGAATGAGGCACTGCTAACTACTAGAAGTAAGGGAAGTACACTTAGATATGGACAGTATTTTTGGTGAGCTGAAATTCCTGTCAGCAAACTAATAAAATTTGATTCATTTCTCTAAATGATCATCTCTAAATAGATCTATATAATGCTAAGTACCTACTGGCTTATATGGCTGTAGTTCCTCATAGTTATTTGAAATGAGCCTGTGGTGATGGTTTGAGGCTAATATAATTATTCTCTTCCACTGCGGGCAAAGTATAATTCTTCCAGGACTTCTGAAATGCCCTTTTATGCTCCTTTCAGGAAGGTAAAATGATTGCTTTATCGAATCCATGTCCGTAGGAATTGTGTTCCTATGTGTGCTATTTGATCTTCTTAGATCAAATAGATCAGACTTGTCATATGGCCAGTCTCAGTTTCTGTGGATCAATTTATCTTAATCTTCATTTCTTTTAAGAGGAAGAAGTTATAAAGACGACAGTGGGGATATTTCACTTGTTTGTACACAAGAATAAATGTTAAAAGAGGATATAATCATGGCTCTCATACAAATATGAAGTTAATACATGTCAAAAATTTCATTTCACTTTCTAATTAGTGAAGGAACTGGAAAAGTTGTTAAAACTGTAAAAACTGGTTGCTACAAAGGAGGATGTAAAGGGCCAACTAATACACAAGCTCATCAGAAAGCCTGATTTAAATTTGCTTAGTAGATGCAAAACTAGCTTCTTCAACAGTGGGAGAGGGAAGTCAATTGAATTTCCACTGGACAGAGTTTATTTGCATGCCTCTAACCAGTAATTATTTGCATTGCTATCAGTTTTCGGCAGGTTAATGTCTACCTCTACAGAATTATAAAATAGCTGAAGACAATGAAAAGCACAGACTTCACAAAATTAGATAACCTTGGGTGTGTGCTAAACAATGTATTGTTTTCGATTAATGACACCCTTAATCTTTTGGTCTACTTCATTAGCTTTCCCAGTTTTTCCCTACAGAGTGCCCTCTTCTTTTGACTTTATTTTTTTTCAATGGTTTTGGGGAAGGTAACACCCGACTTATGTTTCAGAATGATTTTTGTTGTTGTTATCTCTACTTAAGACTTTTGTTCCCTTTTCTTCGTGTTCAGCTTAGGCAACTCAGTTATCAATGTGTCCTCAAGAAGGGCATACCCCAAAGTTGGAAGAGAATCCTGAAGGGCATCTGAACATAATCATATTTGGCTTACTTGGTGAGGCGGTTGTCTGAATAGAATAAGACTGGCATGGAGGGAGGCGAATGTTAGACATTTTAAAATGCATTTTAAGAAAAATCGATTTTGGGTCTTTTTGCTTACTATATTTATTTGCTATGTACTTTATTAACATTTTCTGAGACAGGGTCTTACTCTGTCACTTAGGCTGGAGTGCAGTGGCACAATCATGGCTTACTGTAGCCTCCACCTCCCGGGCTCAAGCAATTCTCCCAGTTCAG